CTTCCCTGCTTCCCCCCATCCCCTTCCCTGCTTCCCCCCATCCCCTTCCCACCTTTCCCCCCATCCCCATCCCTGCTTCCCCCCACCCCCATCCCTGCTTCCCCACATCCCGTGCCCTGCTTCCCCCCATTCCCTTCCCGCCTTCCCCCCATCCCCCTCCCTGCGTCCCCCCATCCTCTTCATTCTTTCCCCTTCTCCCAAGCCCTGCTTCCCCCCATCCGATTTTCTGCTCCCCCCCCCCCTCCCCTTCCCTGCTTCCCCATGTCCCCTTCCCTGCTTCCCTGCAGTGTCTCCTCGACCGCCACTCCACTTTGTTCATCCCCGACATTTCACGGCCTTATGTCCCCCTCCCGCCACAGTCCAATCAGGCCAATTCACCCCCAATTCACCTCCCGTCCATCACACCTCCCCTTACGCCTCCCCATCTCCTCATCCCGCCTCCCCATCTCCTCTTCCCGCCTCCCCATCTCCTCATCCCACCTCCCCATCTCATCATCCTCCCTTCCCTTCTCATCATCCCCCCTTCCCTTCTCATCATCCCCCCTTCCCTTCTCATCATCCCCCCTTCCCTTCTCATCATCCCCCCTTCCCTTCTTAGGGTCCCAGGTCTACATGACAGCTGCCTCCCTCCTCATCTCGCCCACCTCATTTCCTCTCTTCCTCCGGTGTGCATTGTCATTCTCGGTCATAACTCCTCATCTCATCTCCCCGTCATGCCTCCCATCACCTTTCTCTGCCTTCCCATCTCCCCTTCATGCCTCCAATCACCTTTCACCCCCATCCTTACCGTTTTGACCTCTTTTCCCCTCGTTTCCACCTCCCCATCTCATCTCCCCTTTATGCCTCCCACCACCTCTCCCTGCCTTCCCATCCCCCCATATTGCATCCTTCCAGGAACCTTCCCCCCCTTCCCTTTCTTCCCTCCCCATCCTTCCCTCCCCTTACTCCCCACCCCTTCCTCCCCATCCCTGCCCTTCCCTCCATGCCCTTCCCTTCTCTTCCTTTTTTCATACAGGTCAGCAGCACGTGTGCCAATTCACTCTGCTCGAGCTACAAACAGGACCAAGCATGGCCCAAGCAAACTTGGCGGCGTGAAGGGAATGTGTCACGGCATGATGATGACAAGAGTAGAGGATGGTGCTGTTTTGTATAGCTGGCGATGTATTTATATGTGTACGAGCAACTCTGAAATCTCCTATTGTCAACCTTCCGATATCAAGTCTACTTATTGGATGCATGTGAACATAACGGAATAGAAATGTGGTAACACTCTACTGATGTCAAGAAACCGCGAGGGCACACACAAGCCTAGACTGATTGAAACTGCTTCATTTTTTTCCATGCTGAACGGAGCCCTCACGATGGAAAGGGAAGGCGGCAAACACGGTCTGCAGGTGGAATGAAGAGTGGAAACAGTTGGTAGAGGTGGGGAGGGAGGGGAAGCAAGGGGAGGAGGGAGCATAAGCAGGGAGGTGAGTGAGAGCAAGGAGTGGTGAGGAAGCAGAAGCATGGCAGAAAGGCATGGAAAGAAGGGTGGATGTGAGCATTTTTCCTTTCTTACTAAAAATGGACGCCTCCCAAATCTGATGTGACTGGAAAGAGAAGACACAGAAACACGGGAGGATAGGAGGGGAAGCAAGAGGGGGGGGGGGAAGGAGGGGAAGCAGTGGGGGAAATGAGTGGCGGGGAGAAGAGGGGGATAGGAGGGGAAGCAAGGGGGGAAAGGAGGGGAAGCAGGGGCGGAAATGAGGGGATACAGGGGGGGAACAGGAGAGAATACAGGGGGAAGCAAAGGGGGAAAAGGAGGGAATGCAGGGGGGGAACAGGAGAGAATACAGGGGGAAGCAAAGGGGGAAAAGGAGGGAATGCAGGGGGGGAACAGGAGAGAATACAGGGGGAAGCAAAGGGGGAAAAGGAGGGAATGCAGGGGGGGAACAGGAGAGAATACAGGGGGAAGCAAAGGGGGAAAAGGAGGGAATGCAGGGGGGGAACAGGAGAGAATACAGGGGGAAGCAAAGGGGGAAAAGGAGGGAATGCAGGGGGGGAGAGACCGAAATCAAGGGGGGGAAAGGAGGGGATGCAGGGGAGTGGAGAGATGTATGGGAAAAGGGAAGGGAAAGGGGGATGGGGGTTGGGAAGGGGGTACGTGGAAGGGACGGGGAAAAGGGAAGGGAAGGGGGATGGGGCGGGATGTGCAGCAGCAGCAGCTGCCGCACCACACCCGTTCACCGGCCGCGCACCCTCCCGTCCCTTCTCATCTCGGCGCGTCTCCTCCCGTCCCTTTCTCGACTTTCCGTCCCGTCCCTTCCTATACTGTCCCGGCGCTTTCATTTCCGTCTCATCCCTTCCTGTCCCTTATTCTTCCCTAAGGACCCGGGACCTAGAATTGCGCGTCGCTCAACATCCCTTCCCGCCCCCTCCCCTTCCCGACCTGCCTCGGCCATCCAATTTCTGCGCGTCTCCTCCCTTTTCCTCCCGTCCCTTCAAGACCCATTTCGTTCCGTCGCGTCCATCCCGTCCGTCTCTCCCGTCCCGCTCGGGTCCTGTCCCGTCGAGTCCCTACTCGTTCCATCGGGTCCCGTCCCGCCCGGTCCAGTCCCGTCAAACCCTGTCCAGTCCCGTCACGTCTCTTCCCGCATCGTCGCGTCCCTTCCCCTTCCGTCGCGTCCCTTCCCGTCCCGTCGCGTCCCTTTCCGTATCGTTCATTCAGCCGTATTTCGTCCCTTGTCGCGCGTGCGGATATGCATTTGCTATGTAATCCCTTACATTCTATTTGTTCCGCTTCTTCCTCCTGGTTTTCGCGAAAGGCAATAGCCTTACGATCGACCAATACGATGAGCCGTCCGAACACTGCAGAACTGCGTGAAATTTTGTGCAAAATAGTACTGAACAGCCATGAACAAACCCTAGGCTAAACTTAGTAGTTGAAAAGAGTCTAGGGCTGGAATGAAAAGTGGTTGCTCAACTGTCCCATATTTTTCCTGCTGTAGTATTACGTTTGGTCCCTGTGTGCTCTGCCTTCGTCGCACTTGATGGTGTGTTTCGCACGAATGCAGTTCGGTAGTCGTGCATCTACCTTGCCCAGCCTGTTGGGGCTGCAGCCAATCGCAAGTGCTCCCAACCAAACCCAACAAAGTTGCGACGACTTGAGTGGTTACCCGATTTCATCCATATTACACTTGGTTGGGAAGGCGGAAATATGAGACGCGGGCTTTAAAAAATTGGCAAACGAACCGTACGGTCAGAACGGTTCAAAATGGTCTATTTGGTAGAGGCTACGCTAAAGTAGGGTATAGTACGTTTTAAAGTGGTAAATCTCCGAACCGTACTGTTCGATTGTATTTTTTTTTCCAGATGTTCCACGCCCTTAGGGCGTGCGTGATATTTTTCTAGGTTCTGAAAACAGGTCGAACTATGCCTGGTTACTACCTTCTTTGATTTCGCAAAAAACTGTGTGACTAAAGGCATTAGAACACATGGCAAATGCAACATAATATTCTGAACTTGACTCGAGTCAATGCATAAATATGGGCGCGTACAGTGAACGTACGACAAATGGGCAAATTCTGTTAAACCTCCGTGACGCAATAGAAGCTCCGCCAAAAACCACATTCAGTATGTTGACGTGGCGCGCTGTCAAGGGAATTACACCTGGATGTTAGATTGTAATGTGTTATATGTTGGTAGGCTGTAGTGGGGTAGCCAATATGGGGTACAACCCCAACTAGGGTTTGCTACTTGTACCCAACTGTTCCATTCAATGCATTCATTCTTGCCTAGAATCTAACATGGTATTCAGAGCAGGAGGTCCCTAGGACCTACCGACTTTTTTTTAGGGGCCCACCACCGCTCGCATGCGGTTACCACGCTACCCCGTGCCCTAGCCTCGTAGCGCCCTCGTGCGCCCTCGTTAGCGCCCTCGTGCGCCCTCGTTAGCGCCCTCGTGCGCCCCTCGTTAGCGCCCTCGCGCGCCCTCGCTAGCGCCCTCGCGCGCCCTTGTTAGCGCCCTCGTGCGCCCCTCGTTAGCGCCCTCGCGCGCCCCTCGCAGTGTCGCCCGCCCGCCGAGCCGCCCGCTTGCCGCGTCGCTCGCCCGCCCGCTGCCCGCTTGCTGCGTCGCTCGCCCACCTGCTGCTCGCTCGCGGCGTCGTCCGACCGCCTCGCTGCCCGCTCGCAGAGTCGCCCGCCCGCTCGGCTGCCCGCTTGCAGCGTCGCCTGCCCGCCCGCTGCCCGCTTCGCGGCCCGCCCGCCGCGCTGCCCGCTCGCAGCGTCGCCCGCCCGCCCGCTGCCCGCTTGCAGCGTCGCCCGCCCGCCCGCTGCCCGCTCGCGACGTCGCCCACCCGCTTCGCTGCCCGCTTGCAGCGTCGCCCGCCCGCCCGCTGCCCGCTTCGCAGCCCGCCCGCCGCGCTGCCTGCTCGCAGCGTCGCCCGCCCGCCCGCTGCCCGCTTGCAGTGTGCCCGCCCGCTGCCCGCGTCGCAGCCCGCCCGCCGCGCTGCCCGCTCGCCGCGTCGCCCGCCCGCCCCGCTGCCCGCTTCGCAGCCCGCCCGCCGCACTTCCTGCCTGCTGCGCCGCCTGTCCCCCGCACTGCCCGCTCGCCGCGCTTCCCGCCGAGCTACCTACCTGCAGCGCTGCGGCAGCTTCCTTAGCTCCGTCGCGCTGTTGCTATGGCTTCCATCCGCGTGCTGTCGTTCGATGCTGAGGGCCGCCCTGTGAAGTTCGCCACTTGGCTGGATGACCTGCAGCTGTTCCTCCTGAGCGATAGCAAGGAGCATGTGTCGCTCTATGATTACGCGTCTGGTGCTGCACCTGCCCCTCCTGCCACAGCTGAGCTTAGTGTTCGTTCCCACTGGCAGACTCGTGACGCAGCTGCTCGCCTAGCCATTCGCAGTCACCTGCCGTTAGCTGAGCTCGAGCATTTTGGCGACTGCAAAACCGCTAAGGCCCTGTACGACGCTGTCGTTGCCCGCTATTCCTCACCTGCCACAGCCGAGCTTAGCCGCCTTATGCTGCCTTACCTGTTCCCTGAGCTGTCCACCTTTGCTACCGTCGCAGATCTTATCACCCACCTTCGCACTAGTGACGCTCGCCTGCGTGCCGCCCTTCCCACCGAGTTCTGCGCTAAGAACCCCCCTCCACTGTACTGGACACTCCACTTTATAGTCACCCGTCTCCCTGACACCCTTAGCTCAGTGCGCGACCATTTCCTTGCTCGCTGTCCCACTGAGCTCACTGTCGCCCTCCTAGAGGAGAAACTGCTAGCAGCCGAGAAGAGCATTGTAGCTGTAGGTGCTGCTCGTGGCGCTCCTCGCACCCCCATCTTTGAGGGGTGTTCTCCCTCTCCCCTCGCTCCCTCCTACGCTACTGCTGCTGCTGTTGACTTCCTTGGTGCTGAGTCTGCTGGCGCTGCTTCTGCTCCTGGTGGGAGGCGCCGCACTGATAAGGGCAAGGGGGGCAAGGGTGGCGGGGGTGGCGCTGGGGGGGGAGGAGGTGGGGGAGGTGGGGGGGGAGGCGGTGCTGGAGGGAGCGGTGGCGGGAGTGCTGGTGGGAGTGGGGTCGGCGGTGGCGGTGGTGGCGGTGGCGGCGGTGGCGGCGGTGGCGGTGGTGGCGGTGGTGGCGGTGGCGGTCGGAGCGGTGGTAGTGGTGGCGGCGGAGGTCGGAGTGGAGGCACTGGCTCGGGCCAGAGCTCCCAGCAGCAGCAGCGTCCCCAGACGACCCAGCAGCTTCGTGAGTGGCTTGCTCAGCGTGGGACGTCGGGGGGCAGTGGCCGCTGTTCCTATGTCATTCGCACAGGTGATCGCAAGGGACAGACGTGTGGGAGGTTTCACACCCCGTACCGCTGCTTCTCCCGCCTTGACGACGCTTGGCGTGAGGAGATGGGCGAGGATGTTGAGCGCCCCCGCTGGGCTGAGCTCATGAGGGCTGGTGTTGATATCTTTGCTCTTGACTATGATGCTATTATTGCTGCCATGTATGCATTGACTGTTAGTGCCGAGGGAGACTGTTACTTGTGTGTGCCGCCTGACCCAGGTATAGAGCCCGCTGCCCTGGGTACTAGTGAGTCTGCTCTCTCAGGTACAGCACCCACAGAGACTGCTCTCTCAGGTACCGCACCGGCTGAGGCCTGTCACACCTTCACCCTTGACTCAGGTGCTTCCCGCTGTTTCTTTCGTGACAGTACTGAGCTCACACCGCTTCCTGCACTGGTCCCAGTCTCCTTGGCTGACCCCTCTGGGGGCCCAGTCCTTGCCCAGTCCACCACTGTGCTCCCTTGTCCGGCGGTTCCGTCTGGCTCGTTGTCGGGTTTCCACCTCCCCTCGTTCTCGACGAACCTGGTGAGCAACGCTGTCATCCAGGATCAGTGGGTTGACACCTTTACCCCTGGAGGACAGCGTGTGGCGATCTGCACGTGCTCCAGGACCGGCCGTCACCTGGCTACGTTTACCCGTCGGCCGGGGTCGAGTCTCTACACACTGACCACTGCGTCTCCTCAGGTCGCTGCTGTCGGTCAGGTGTCCGCGTCAGGTCTGGTGGCCCACGCCTGTGAGTGTCGTTCCCTGTCGCACCAGACTCTTCTCTGGCACCACCGCCTGGGTCACCCCTCCTTGCCACGCCTCCGTGGCATGCACCGTCGCCACCTTGTGTCTGGTCTTCCCAGGTCCCTCCCTCCCCTCCCTGCCTCGCCTGCGCCGCCTTGCCTTCCTTGCGTCGAGGGGCGGCAGCGCGCCGCTCCTCACTCCTCCTCGTTCCCCCCGACAGAGGCTCCTCTGCAGACCCTCCACCTGGACGTGTGGGGCCCAGCCCGCGTTCGTGGCCAGGGCGGTGAGCGGTACTTTTTGCTGGTTGTCGACGACTACTCGCGTTACACCACGGTCTTCCCCTTGCGCACCAAGGGTGAGGTCCCTGCTGTTCTGATCCCTTGGATCCGCACAGTTCGTCTCCAGCTCCGCCGCCGTTTCCGGACGGATCTTCCTGTCCTGCGTCTGCACTCTGACAGAGGTGGTGAGTTTTCCTCCGATCTCTTGAGGACCTTCTGTCAGGCGGAGGGCATCGAGCAGACCTTCACGCTTCCGGACTCCCCACAGCAGAATGGGGTTGCTGAGCGCCGCATTGGCCTGGTCATGGAGGTCGCTCGTACCTCCTTGGTCCACGCGGCGGCTCCCCATTTTCTGTGGCCGTTTGCTGTCCGGTACGCCGCGCATCAGCTCAACCTCTGGCCCCGTGTCTCCTTGCCGGAGACCTCGCCCACACTGCGTTGGACGGGGGAGGTTGGCGATGCGTCGCGCTTCCGGGTGTGGGGTGCTCGTGCCCTTGTCCGCGATACGTCCGCGGACAAGCTCTCCTCCCGCACACTTCCCTGTGTCTTCCTTGGCTTTGTCCCTGACGCGCCTGGCTGGCAGTTTTACCACCCCACCTCGCGCCGGGTCTTCGCCTCTCAGGACGTCACCTTTGACGAGTCGGTCCCTTTTTACCGTCTCTTCCCCTACCGCACTGCCCCCCTCCCTCCCCCGCCGCTGTTCCTTGCTCCTGGTCCCCCTCCGGTAGACCCCCTTCCCCCTCAGGGTCCTGCTCCTTCAGGTGTCTCTCAGGTAGACCCTCCTCCCGTCGCTGAGCCTGTCGAGGTCACAGGTGACTCAGGTGCTGCTGCAGGTGGTGCTGCTGGGAGTGCTGAGTCTGGGGGTGCTGAGCCTGCGGGTGCTGGGCCTGGGAGTGCTGGGACTGCGGGTGCTGGGGCTGAGGGTACTGTGCCTGAGAGTTCGGCGCCTGGGGGTGCTGTGCCTGGGGGTGCTGCGACTGGGAGTGCTGAGCCTGCGTGTGCGGAGTCTGGGGGTGCTGCGCCTGCGGGTACTGAGCCTGGGGGTGCTGCTACTGAGCCTACGGAGCCTCGGGTTGCTGCGTCTGGGGGTGCTCCGGTTCGGGGTACTGAGCAGTCTCTCACACCGCAGCAGCTTCGTGACTGGTACGTCTGGCGCTTTCGCCGTCTACGTGGCTCGGCTGGAGCTGGCGGTGCTAGCGGAGTTGGAGCTGCCGACTCTGGGGGTGCTCTTCCTAGCGGTGCTGCGGACCCTGGGGGTGGCGCTACTGCTGGTGCTGCGGACCCACCTGGTGGAGCTGCTGCTGGTGCTGAGGACCCGAGCGGTGGCGCTGCTGCTGGTGCTGGGGACTCGGACGTTGGAGCTGCTGCTGGAGCTGAGGACCCGAGCGGTGGCGCTGCTGCTGGTGCTGAGGACCCGGACGTTGGAGCTGCTGCTGGAGCTGAGGACCCGAGCGGTGGCGCTGCTGCTGGTGCTGAGGACTCGGACGTTGGAGCTGCTGCTGGAGCTGAGGACCCGAGCGGTGGCGCTGCTGCTGGTGCTGAGGACCCGGACGTTGGAGCTCCTGCTGGTCCTGAGGACCCGGCCGCTGGAGTCTCTTCTGCTTCTAGAGACGCTGCGCGGCCGCGATCGTACTTCGTACCGCTCCTTCAGCAGGTTCTTGGGCAGGCTCCTCCTCCTTGTCCTCCTCCCTCCGTCTGATGTCCCCCGCCTGTCCAGCCGCAGTCACAGTTACCGCCTGCCTCGCCTCTCCCTGCTCCCTCTCCTTACACTGGTCCCACAGGAGGTCTTACAGAGCGTCGTGAGCCTGAGTCTCGTCCTGCGTCGCCTGTTCGTCCTGCTCGCACTGCTCGTCGTGTCCGTCGTGAGCGTCCTCCTCCTGTCCCAGGCACTCACTACATGACTCTGCGTCCCTCCACTGCTCCTCAGCGTGTCCCTCTACCGTCTCCTCCTGCGTCCTCTTTGCCTGACGTTCCGGACCCTGAGTCTGACCGGTATCATGCTGAGCACCCTACTGTCACGCGTCTCCTCGCTACTGTTGTCACTGACCCTACCTTTGAGTCCTCGGCTGCGTCTGCTCTGGTCGCTGAGTTGGTTGACTTTGCTGCTGCCTGTCGTCTAGACTACGCTGCTAGCCTTGTTGCTGAGTCTGAGTCTGCGTCTGTCTGTCCTCCGTCCGTCGGGGGTGAGTGTGCTCTTGGCACGGACGTCCTTGAGGACAGGCAGGAGGACTTTGACTCTCTCGCGGCTGCTGTACCTCATCTCGTGGCCTGGTTGCTTGCCCCTGAGGGAGACCCGGATGCACTAGACATCCCCACTCCGCGCACTTACGCAGAGGCGATCTCGGGTCCCTACTCCTCTCAGTGGCAGACAGCCATGGACGCAGAGATGGCATCCTGGAAGTCCACAGGCACCTACGTCGATGAGGTTCCCCCTCCTGGGGCGAACATCGTCGATGGCATGTGGATTTTCAGGGTGAAGCGGCCACCAGGTTCTCCGCCTGTCTTCAAGGCTCGTTACGTTGCTAGAGGCTTCAGTCAGCGTCAGGGGGTCGACTTCTTCCAGACCTTCTCCCCCACCCCGAAGATGACCACTCTTCGGGTTCTGCTGCACGTTGCTGCTCAGCGTGACTACGAGCTTCACTCTCTTGACTTCAGCACAGCGTTCCTGCAAGGCAGCCTACACGAGGAGATCTGGCTGCGCCGCCCACCTGGCTTTACTGGGTCGTTTCCTCCTGGTACCCAGTGGAGCCTCCGCCGGCCAGTCTACGGTCTCCGCCAGGCGCCACGTGAGTGGCACGACACACTGAGGACTACACTTGCGGCTCTTGGGTTCGCGTCGTCTTCTGCTGACCCGTCGCTGTTTCTGCGCACAGACACGTCGCTGCCGCCGTTCTACATTCTCGTGTACGTCGACGACTTGGTCTTTGCTACAGCTGACACTGAGGCACTCGCTCGAGTGAAGTCGGAGCTACAGAAGAGACACACCTGCACTGACCTGGGTGAACTGCGTAGCTACCTTGGCTTGCAGATCACCCGGGACAGAGCTCGCCGCACCATCACCCTGACTCAGTCACACATGGTGCAGCAGGTCCTTCAGCGCTTCGGCTTCCAGTTCTCCTCACCACAGGCCACACCTTTGGCCACCAGCCACTCGCTCTCAGCTCCACCTTCGGACGAGTCCGTAGAGCCGAGTGGCCCGTACCCAGAGCTTGTAGGCTGCCTCATGTACCTGATGACTTGCACGCAACCTGACCTCGCGTACCCTCTTAGCATCCTTGCTCGTTACGTTGTGTCAAAATAACTAGGCAAGAATGATTGAAAGGAGAGGGGTTTCACTAGCAGCAGTTGGGGTACATATAGCAAACCCTAACTGGGTTGTACTCGCTATAGAGCACCCCACTACAGGCTAGACAATAATAACATTCTGACACACCCCCATAGCCAAAGTGGGGTGTAATCAGTACAATGAGCAGGCATAGCAATAGTTCACAATTATAAGCAAAGCTAGAGGTGATCATAGAGGGCAAGTGAGGAGGAGAAACTGTGAGGGCGAGAAGATGAAAGGCGCCGACTGAAGCTGCAGACACACGGGCAACAGGAGCGGCGCGCACAGTGGCTACCGAGCGCACGAGGGCACCGGACTACGGGAGTATCTGGCTCCGCGGCTACGACGAGCACACACAGGAGCAACGGACCCACAGGCGACTGGCGAAGCAGGCTCGCTGGGCTACCGAAACGCGCGAGGGCATCCGGACTACTGGCGCTGCTGGCGTCACGACGGCTACCTCCACGCAACCTCCCCCGACCGTCCCACGCCCCTCTCACACACCCCCTGCTGACACCCTAGCTCCACTTCCACGGCACCCCCCTTAAACCCTAAACCCTCGGCTCCCACACACCCACCCCCCTCAGCGGCAGCTGCAGCAGTGGGAGACGGAGGAGGAGGAGGAGCCGCAGGTTACCCACACCGGTCACCCCCATGCCCGCCACCCCCAAACCCTAACGCAGGCAGGAGCACGGGAAACAGCAGGGGCGGGGCACGGAGGGGAAGGGAGGCAGCGGGGTGGCTCTTGGGCGCCACGAAGAAGCAGGGCGCGGGCCCCCCGAGGGCGCCACGGCGGGTGACGGGAGGGGGGCCGCGCACGGGCCCCCGAGGGCGGCTCGACGGGCGACGGGAGGGGCCGCGCGCGGGCCCCCTAGGCGCCGCGACGAGGCGACGGGAGGGGGCGGCGCGCGGGCCCCCAAGGTGCCGCGACGAGGCGACGGGAGGGGGGGGACGCGCGGGCCCCCAGGGCGCCGCGACGAGGCGACGGGAGGAGGACGACGGGGGGCAGCGCGCAGGTCCTCGGGGGCGCCACGACGGGCAGGAAACCGCCGCGCGCCTCGGGGCACACGGCGGGCAGAAAACCGCCGTACGCCCTGAGCGCACGGCGGGATGAAAAACCCTAAAAATTTTCGCCGCGCGCTCCGCGCGCGGCAGGAAGAAGACGGCGCGCGCCCGAGGCGTGCGAGAAGCAGAATAGCAGCGGAAGCAGTTAGGTGGTGGGCCCACCCACAGGATCGACCCAAGGGGGTCGACCTGCTCTGATAGCATGTCAAGAGAACTAGGCAAGAATGATTGAAAGGAGAGGGGTTTCACTAGCAGCAGTTGAGATACAAATAGCAAACCCTAACTGGGTTGTACTCGCTATAGAGCACCCCACTACAGGCTAGACAATAATAACATTCTGACACGTTGCGCCTGGGAGACACAGGCGAGAGCACTGGGAGGCTGCTAAGAGGGTGCTGCGTTACTTGTGCAGTACATCAGGCATGGGGCTGGTGCTTGGAGGACGCGACAGAGTTGCCCTCACTGGTCACTCGGACGCTTCTTGGGTGGATGACCTGGCTACGCAGCGGTCGTCACAGGGTTACACCTTCAGCCTTGGCTCTGGTTCTGTCTCGTGGCGGTCCACTCGCTCTTCCTCTGTTCTCAGCTCTAGTTGTGAGGCTGAGATCTACGCCACGGCCATGGCTGCACAGGAGTTACGCTGGCTCACCTACCTGCTGACTGACTTGGGAGAGCGGCCTAGTTCTCCTCCAGTTCTGTACGGTGACAACAAGGCGGCTCTTGCCTTGTGTCAGGAGCACAGACTGGAGCACAGGACGAAGCACATTGCTCTTCGCTACTTTCTTGCTCGAGAGCTTCAGCAGCGCGGTCAGCTTCGGCTTGTGTACGTGGACTCGAAGGCCAACACTGCTGATATCTTCACCAAGGCGCTCCCGCCTAGTGATCATCAGTGGCACTGTACTTCTTTAGGTCTTGTGCCCACGTTTCCTCACTTGCTCACTGCTTGACAGTCTTTGTACTGTACTTTATATATATCTTGTTGCTTGCTTGCTAGGTATTGATCACTGTGTTACCTGTCTTGTACTATATCTAGCACTGCATGTGAACTGGCCTTGTGGCCTTTGCTTGTGCTCGGAGTGTGGTGACGTTGTGATCCACCCTGGGCTTGCATTGCTTTGCTGGACTGGTCTTGTGACCCTTTGTTCTCCCCCACTTTGCCTATGGGGGTGTGTTAAATTGTAATGTGTTATATGTTGGTAGGCTGTAGTGGGGTAGCCAATATGGGGTACAACCCCAACTAGGGTTTGCTACTTGTACCCAACTGTTCCATTCAATGCATTCATTCTTGCCTAGACTTTCTAACACTGGAAACCTACACCCCCTACGAGCGGTTCGGAGCATCCCCTATAAGGTCGAACATTCAAATTCGACCTTGGGTGTGTGATTGGACTTACCTGAAGCAATTATGCGCGGTTCGAACTTCATCAAAGGGAATTGGATGTTGGCCACGTCCTCGCTTGGACAAAGTCGACTTCGTGGTCAGGTGTGCGGAGGTGCAGCCGACCGACTGCAATGGGCGACGCCGACTTGGGCAAACAAGTCGACTGACTTGGTCGGCCTGCATGGGGGCCACTGCGAAGCCGCCGACGACGGGAAGCTGGTGGCCGACTTCAACGGTGGTCGACGAAGGGAACCGTCGACCCGAGGGGGGCGCCGACTTGGGAGGTCGCCGACTTTGGGAGGTCGACTTTGTAAGTCGGCCTAGAAGGGCGTCGACTTGGTCGACTTGAGGAGTGGCCGACTTGGAAAAGTCAGCTGGTGGTCGTCGACTTGGGTGGTCGACGAGCACGTACAATTTTCGGTCAACTATTACCGAGCAATTCGACGCCGACCTGGAGGTTTCCAGGTCGACCAAGTAACTAGGGCGACGAGGTTCAGCGGGGTGCGCGACAGTCGCCCAGGTGTTTTCCCGAGGTCGACGTGGCTGATTAGGCGCAGTCAACGCCCAGTCTAAGCGAACAGCTCGACGGGTTTCGTCAAGCAGCAGGGGACCGCTGCGACGATACCGTCGACTAGGAGAGCTTGACGGCTGCAGCTGATCGAGCTGGTCGACGGTCGGGCCGTCGAACAGGAGGGGTCTTCGACGTGTGCAGTGGTTGATGAAGGAGGTCGTCGATCAGGCTGCACACTGATTGGTCGACCTGGTCGCGACTAGGTTACCTCGGCAAGGGTCCGCGGAGGCACGCGACCGTCGTCAAGGTCGCGATGGTGAAGGCGACCTCAGGATGGTATCCCGAGGTCGACATGGAGCTTCTAGCGCGATCCTCGGCATGTGGCCGACTTGGCACCCGCGTGACGATAGAGAACGTGCTCGACCGTCGCGGCGCACCTGCAAAGTGGGTGTGTACTTGCGCTACTGTCACCCGCGGTTTCAACGTTGGCAAGCCGCCTTTGTGCAGCGTGGCGAGCCGCGAACTTGCTCTGCCTGCAGATCGCTCTTCTGCAACGCTGCCGCGGTGCCTCTACGCTACGCTGGCAGACCGTCGACCTTGCTGCGCTGGCGGTCGACCAGCTTGCCTGCTAGGTCGTTAGACTCTGATGTAGTCATTGTTGCCTTTGTCATTCCTATCATTATTGTTCTCAACCTTTGTTAGTGAAACTCTTGCCAATTCTTCCTGTGAAAGTGCAAGTGCTAGAGAACGCTAAGGAAAGCTTCGCTCACTCATACAACTCGTGCCAACCTCGTATTCTAACTCCCACCATCGTTGTAGAGTGAATCTCCGCATGGTGCGGTGAGCGTGGAAGGCCCGTGGATTACCTTCAAATAGGAGCCGAGTTTTGCACCTACTAAGTCGTTCGTAGGCCGGCAGCCGTCTTAGTCGCCATGGTCGACCCTGTAGTTGAAGCGGGCGTAGCGGACACCTTGGAGGCTCGATTGGCTGATGCAAGGAGAGGCCACGCAGCTGGCGAGTTCAAACAGGTGCTCCCCTTGGATGTGGTTATCCTGGGGATCCGTGCGCAGTGGGCGACGGAACACCCCTCTCGACCTGCTTCTCCTCGACCGATAGGGAACGAAGTTGTCGTCGACGAGGTGGTTGACAAGTGGGCGGCAACGAAGGTACGAGGCACATAGGAGTGATCAGGTCCGTCGACAGTGGCATCAGCGGGAATCAGGCGCGAGTGCAACGGTCGACGGACCTGATCACTCAGCTCGCGTGTCGACGTCGCTCACCTCCACGAAGTAATGGGAGGCCCACGTCGACGACGCATGTGACGGCAAGAGGGATCGCACCGAACAAAATCGCCGTGACCACGCCGGTGCAAGGTCGATGGGACTTTATCACGTGGAAAGAGGCTATCGAGCCTCAACTGGAGATCGCCGTGCTGAAGGATTGCGCCGACGGCGATGTGCCGATACTGGACGTGGACGATGTCGAGCTAAGCGCAGAGTTTCATGTTGCTCACCTGCTGACCTTCATTGTCATCTCGAGATGCTGCTCGCCGGTGGTGCAGATAGCGCTGAAGCCTTGTCGACAGTGATTGGACGCTGGCCACCAGGCGTGGAGGTTCATCTTGTCGACGTACCAAGCGTCGGACGTCCTGTACATCGGACAACTGAAGGAGCAGATGACTCATCTCCGGGAGGGCAAGCAGGAACCAGCGTCGGGCTACAGCAATCGTGCTCCACGAATCCTCGCCGAGATGCGGATGGCGGACGTGTACCACTCAACGGCGTCGTACATCACACATGTCGTCAAGGGTCTTCCGAGTGGCTACAACCTCATGCGCTGGATGATGGTGATGTCCGACATGCGGGATTCACTCGACAAGGACACTCTTACCAGTCACATCAACAAGGATGAGGCGATGCAGGAGGCAGAACAACCTACGGACCTCCTTCCGCAGGCGAATTAAGCTGCACCGACGAAGCAGAGTCATAAGCAGGGGCAGTGTGTGAAGCCGGGCGGAGG